ATTTATATGAATATATAGATATTATAGATACATTATATTGATTGAATATTATAGATACATTATTTGAATATAAACAAGTAATATAAAAAAAAATTTAAGTCAATTCCTACTCTTTTTTCACTATATTGCAGAAAGTCGTTTATAAATAATTTTCCTTCAATTTTTTAAGTTTATCTGGCGCCATCTATTGGTAGATATATGCAACTTAAATCTAAAAAAAACTAAAATTAATTAATTAAATTTAATGAATGAATTAATATTTGAAAAAACTGTATTAGCATCAAGTGTCATCCACTACAAGTTGAAAAAAATGTATTTGAACTTGAGTGGATGAATAAAAAGTATTTTATTAACGATTGAAAATTTGAACAAGACATACACTGAAGTGACAAAAGTCATGGGATACCTCTTAATATCGTGTCGGCCCTCCTTTCGCCCGGCGAACTGCAGCAACTCGACGTGGCATGGACTCAAGAAGTCGTTGGAAGTCTTCTGCAGGAATATTGAGCCATGCCGTCTCGATAGACGTCCATAATTGTGAAAGCGTTGATGGTGCAGGATTTTGGGCACGAACAGACCTCTCGATGATGTCCCATAAATGCTCGATGGGATTCATGTCGGGCGATCTAGATGGCCAGATCATTCGTTGGAATTGTCCAGAATGTTCTTCAAACCAATCGCGAACAGTTGTGGCCCGATGACATGGCGCATTGTCATCCATAAAAATCTCATCGTTGTTTGGGTACATGAAGTCCATGAATGGCTGCAAGTGATCTCCAAGTAGCTGAACATAAGCATTTCCAGTCAATGTTCGGTCCAGTCGCACAAATTACCAAGTCCATGCCATGAAAAAACAGCCCACACCATTACGGAGCCACCACCAGCTTGAACAGTGCCTTGCTAACAGTTTGGGTCCATGGCTTCGTGGGGTCTGCGCCACACTCGAACCCTACCATCAGCTCTTACCAACTGAAATCGTGACTCATCGGACCAGGCCACGGTTTTCCATTCATCTAGGGACCAACCGATATGCTCACGTGCCCACGAGAGTCGCTGCAAGCGATGTCGTTCTGTCAGTAAAGGCACTCGATTCGGTCTTCTGCTGGAATAGCCCAAGAAAGCCAAATTTCTCCGCACAGTTCTAACAGACAAGTCCCTTGTACGTCCCACATTGATTTCTGCGGTTATTTGACGCAGTGTTGCTTGTCTGTTAGAATTTACGACTCTTTGCAGACGTCGCCGGTCTCGGTCGTTAAGTGCAGGCGGTCGACCACTGCGCTGTCCATGGTGGGATGTTATGCCTGAAATTTCATACTCTCGGCACTCTCTTGACACAGTGGATCTGGGAATGTTGAATTCCCTAACGATTTCCGAAATGGCATGACCCATGCGTCTAGCTCCAACTAACATTCCGCGTTCAAAGTCTGTTAATTCCCGTCGTGCGGTCATCATCACGTCAAAACCTCTTCACATGAATAACTTGAACAAAAATGAAAGCTCTGCGAAAGCACTGCGCATTTATACCTGTTCTACGCGATGCTACTGCCATCTGAAAATTTGCATATTGCTATCCCATGACTTTTGTCACTTTCAGTGTATATAGGGAGAGTGTGAGCTAATAGAAGGAATTGAAAAATTTGTCATTTTATGCATCTTTTCTATATTAAAATATTGAATCTCTGTGTGACCGAATATTTTACATTGAAACAATTATTACATTACATTTTTGTTTTTTATAAATTTACATTTTGTTAAAACAAAGAATATAAAAATTATTAAGAAACTACATAGCATTAATTAGTATTAATAATTAGTTATATACTAATTATTCAGAAAACAAATGCTTCAATTAATCCTTTTCTTCAATTAATATCTATACAGTTATTTAGTAAATAACTGTATAGATATTTTTATTTGAATATAAAAAATTTCATTTGTGCAACTTTTTCCATATTAAAATACTGAATCTCTGTGACCGAAAATTTTACATTAAAACAATTATTATATTATATTGTGATATAAATTCTTAGTTTACTTCATAAAAATAGAATATTATTTAAACTCTTAACTTATTAATTAACAAATGCAATTAAAACAAATAGCTGCTTGGGTCGATTACAAATAAAAACCTCTGACTTTTCGAATATTTTTGAAATAAGATGATTATTTTTATTTAAAAAAAAAAAAAAAAAAAAACCAGAATTGTAACTAAGGAAAAAAAAACATCTAACGAAATTATAATAAAAAATAGTGTTACGAGTTTTTAAACAGGACTAAAAATTGTTATCAATCATTATATGACAATTTTATTTACAATATAATGAAATGTGAATCGTGTTTGTATTTTGAAATAAAAAAAATTAATTTTGATTTGAAGTATTCGAAAATACAAAACAACAAATGCACACTATGGTTATCTTTATAAGCATATTTTAATCATTTTTTTAAAAAATCTTTTAATTAATATATAAAATTCAAAAAAAAGTGCTCCAAAATTAATAGAAAATAAACTATCTAAAAAAAAGCACACAAAATTTTTGTGATGCAAATATATAAAACAAATTTATTGAAAATTGCGCCACCTTAGTAAATTCCCATAACACGAAATTCTGATTTAAAAAAAAGGCAAAACAAAAATTTCATATTTTGCCTTTTCCCATTATCTCTTAAATCACTTGATGCCTAATTTCCCCCCTTTAACTCGTTATCAGTACCTTGAGTTTACCTACACCATCTGCTTTGTGGAAAAATATCCTGGATAATAATATATATATATATATATTTAAAACCAAGTACATAATTAATTAATTGTATATTAATTATTTAGAAAACAAACGCCTGCATTATTTTATACTTCTTATTAGTAAATAAATATATAGACATTTTTATTTCAATAAAAGAATTTCATTTTGTGCATTTTTTTCCAATAAATGAAAATTTATAAAAACAAAATGTCAGTATTGTATATGAAAAAAGATTCAGTTTACAATGCTGACATTTTGTTTTTTATCATTTATTTATTTATTTTCTTTCATTCAGTGTTCTTCATACATGTTATATTTTCATATTTTTGTATTATTCCTTTTACTAGATTTTATTCTTTTTCTCTTCGTTTACTTTGAAAAATATTCCAAAGAAATAAATTCCTAGTTTACTTCCCAAAAACAGAATTTTATTTAAACTGCTAACTTTTAATTAACAAACGCAAGTAAAATAACTAGCTGCTTGGATGGATTACAAACCGTATTACAGAGACAAGAACCTACGAACCACTGATTTTTCGAGCATTTTTGAAATAAGATGATTATTTTTATTTAAAAAAATAGAATTTTAACTAAAAATGGAAAAAAAAAAAACCATTTAACGAAATTATAATAAAAAAATAGTAAAACAAATCTACTGAAAGGCAAACAAAAAATTTATATTTTGCTTTTCCCTTTATCTCTCAAATCACTTGATGCCTAATGATAATTAATTTGAAAAGAAAATAATGACATCTAACGAAATTATAATAATAAAAAAAAATAGTAAAACAAATCTATTTCAAATTGTAAAAAAGACAATTTTTTTTTATTTTGCCTTTTCCCTTTATCTCTCAAATCACTTATGCCTAATTTCCCCCCTTTAACTCGTTATCAGTACCTTGAGTTTACCTGCGCCATCTGCTTTGTGGAAAACTATCCTGGATATAGTACAGAAGTTTGTGAAAGGGGAAAAAAAGAAAGTAGGTCAGAACGCTGGATATCTTAAATTCCGAAAATGACCCGTATGTCGTGCGTAATCAATGATATTTCTCCTTGTATCTCTATGAGAAAACACAGCGTGTAATCTCACAAATGATGGTTGCACAGGGCATCCATATCATGGGACAGCTGCGAAGATCCGTTCCATATCATGCACACAAGATTAATTTGAAGCGGGTACACTTGACACGCTTTAGCTAGAAAAAAAAAACTTTTTTCTTTTTTATTCTTTACTCATTTTAGATCAAATTTGTTTAGCAATCCTCGTGATCTTATCAATAAAACGCAAGAAAACAAAAACAGGTTTAGGTCATGATTTTTCAAACTGACTAAAAATTGTTATTAATCAATATATAACGATTTTATTTACAATATGATGGAGATTTAATCGTGTTCATATTTTGAAATAAAAAGTTTTAAAAAAAAAAAAATAGTTTTGATTTGAAGTGTTTGAAAAATAAAACCATACGCATTAGAGTTTAAAATTTTAAATACAGACCTAATCTGTTTAAAATTTTAATTTTAAAATGGACTTGATTAACTAATTTGCTTCTTTGAAAATGTCAATTAAATGTTTAAAAAGTTATCTTTATAAGCATTTTTTTGGAAAATATTTGACTTAATAAATAAAATTAAAAAAATAATATTTCTACAAAATTAATCAAAAATTAGCACACATATAAAAAAAAACACAAAATTTTTGTGGTACAAATATGTTAATTGATGAAGGATTGTAATTGGAGATTTTATACAACGATAACCATAATAAGAGTTACTAAGAAAATAAGAGTAAATTAATAATAAGAGTTTAGCTAACTTACAGTTTTATAAGAAATAACTGAACATAAAATATTGTCCTTTGGAGTATTCATTGCTTTTACAAATGAGAAAAAGTTATTTATTTATATTTTATTTATCTATTTATGTATAAATAAATGTATATTAGTAAATCTGGATTAAATGTAGTGTTGTTGTTGTTGTTTCTTATCCCACTTGGCTGGCCAAGCCCACAAGCCCATATGGACTCATGATTGAAGGGGAAGGAAGCAGCTTCTGTTGTGATGGAGCACCCGTAGGTAGAAGCCTGACTTTTGCTCCATGACGCTCTTACAGTCATAGGAGACCGGGACCTACGGCTTAAAGTGGATTCCGAACCTCTATACAAACATCCATGGCACCGCCGGGATTCGAACCCGAAACCTGTGGCACCGAGCGCCAGAGCGCTAGACACTCGGCCATTCAGGTCCCAAATTTGCCAACGGCACGCAGTGTTCCCAGGTGGTCACCCACCCAAGTACTTAACTTCGGTGATCTAACGAGAACCGGTATATTCACCATGGTACGGCCGTTGGCTAAATGTAGTGTAAGAGCAGTATAAGAAATCCGACTAACTACATTTGGTGACTTATCCCACAGTTGGCGCCACAAAAATGTAGCGAAATCGCAACGACCCCTATTTTGCGATTTAGCCATTTTTCTTATTGTTTAGCAATGTAATTTGAGGACAAAAAATTTCAAGCTATTCATTCAAGCTATTATTTTATCAATTTTTTAAAATTAATGTGTCTAATAATTCTCTCAATTTTTTTATTTATTTTAGATGCAGTATTTACAACTGTAAATAAATAACAGGCCATTTATCGCTATCACATATTTTTGCGTGCTGCAAGCTATCTTATGTCCTTATTACTTCAATGACACAAAAAAGGGAAAAAAAATTTAAAGTCATTTTATACAATTAATTACCAATTAGCTTATAATTATTACATAATGATATCATTAGCAATGTCATTTAATCATCCCAAAAAAATACACCATTATAATGTATTTTTTTATCGTGTTTTCTTTTAAATCAATATGAATCTCATAACTATTTCAACATATTTAGTTTAAACGCAACATTTACAGCTGTAAATATATAGTAAATTATCACTAACTCACATTTATGAATCATCAGTTACACTATCTTATGCCATCACTATTTTGGTATCATTGATTTTAATGATTGACAGTATCCGTATCATACCTGCTCTCGATCAAGGACCTTAAGATAGCTATCTCGGTATATGTCATGTTCAATAAAGATAAAAAAAACTTCAATAACAGCGTTCTGTTGGCATTCGTTTGATAACAAGTATATCCTTGCTATCTTTATCTGTTTCAGTTTTGATAACACTCAGAACTGTCATATGCTTCATATCTATGACATCATCAGAAATTCAATGTGAATCAGAAAATTATTGAAAATATTTTCAATTAAACCTGTTTTCGAAATGTTATTTTAGTAAATTTAAACATCTGAATAAAAAATATTTCTCGACGTCGTATTATTATATGAAATAAGTTAAAATAAACTCATCTAAAAATAAATTATATAAAGACAATAAATAAGAAATCTAAGTTAGGACCATACATTTAAGAAAATAAAATAAGGACAAGCATAATCTGCATTCTGTTTTTAATTCGTCGGTATTTGTCAGGCCTCATGAGATATAAACGCTGTATTTTTTTTTCACAAGGAATGCTTATAAAAGTATTTTAATGCAGAGTACAGGAGATTTCAGTTTAGTAAATTTCAAAATGTTAAAAACGAGTAAAATGTAAAACGAAAATTTTTGTAGGCGAATGATTTTGTTTGGTAGAAATATGAAATGCTGTGATACAAAATTGCTGAAGAAATTGATTGAACTAAAAATGTTTTCATAACTATAAGCAAGCGATCAACGGGAGTAACATCAATCATAAAAGAGAGGGAAAAATAATAATGTTCGATGAGACTGCATACAATGCATTTTGTTCAAACAATTTGATCGCTTGTAATTATGTCTTCTTTATCATTGTACTGTCTTTGTTTATACTAGGCCTATAACGGCTTTCAGGTTGGTCCACTTTCAAGTTGATGGCAACACTTTTTTTATTTATAAGCATTTATATATTATATATACATATATATATTATTTTGGAAATAGACGCTAACTCCGGCCTGTTCTGTTTCAGAGAAAAAGAGAAAAACAAGACTCCTTGTCGACTCGTCATAGAACTCAACCCTTTCTTCTCCAAAAACCTCCCTTTAAGAAATCCGTCGAGGGGTTGAAGGTCAACTTCCCCCACTTCTGATTAGCGTAGACATTTTCTCAGCCCATGGTCTATGACCAATCATGATGCAGCAACTCATGGTGTAGTCCATATTCCATCTGTAATTATTTCGACCTGTGAAGATCGCACAGACATTCGCTAATTTCATGACACTGAATATATGCTATTAGATTTGAGTAGCAGGTTGTTCTCATTAGTACAAAACAGTAATTGCTTGTAGTAACTGCTCATCTGCTGTCAAATTTGAGTGATAGGTTATTATTATGTACTTCTTAAGGATGTATATTCCTCTCTCCTGGAAATGAAATACCACACGTACTTCCTATAGATGATGCTACACCATCATCTATAAGAGCTTTTGTATCAACATCATTATTCCTTGAAGCCTAAAAGTAACGCATTAAAGACCAAATCCTGTGGGGCCTGATGGCCGAATGGAGCGCTCTGGCGTTCGGTACCACAGGTATCGGGTTCAAATCCCGGCTTTGCCCATGGGTGTTGTGGTTCGGAATCCACTTTAAGCCGTAGGTCCCGGTCCTAATAGGATCGTAGAGTGCTCGGGGGCATTGTTACTCCGCGTCCGTGGCTTACCATCAAGTTACACGCGACCCCTGGGTAATGCAAAGTGAGTAACATCGGTGCAGCCCTTATGGCGAAGGTCACGGTCTATTTGCCAGCTGCATTAGAAGAAAAAAAAGACCAAATCCTTTTGCATTTGGAAGAATTGAACAAATTTAAATTTTTGCATTTTTTAAGCCTAATTAAAGGATAAAAAGTGAAAATGAAAAAAAAGCACAAAAAATTTTTGCCTTTTTTTTTTAATGTTGCGAAAATATAACGCCAGTTCAAAACGATTATTTTCTAGCAAGTGATATATTTAAAGCCATATTATGCAAAGGCACATTACATTTTCTATATATACTTATAGTAAAACTTAACAACATGGTTTAATATAATTTTTCAACTCGTAATTGTATTTACGAAAATAACTCAAAAGTAAAGGCAAAAAACTCAGCAAAAGTAAAAAAAATAATTAAACATCATAAAAAAAAAATATCATTGAGACCAAATATTTTTTTTTCTGTATCAGGGAGTCAGAAAAATTTCTCTGTTACTACGCAGTAAAGGAAATTTATAAAAAATATCACAGAAAATAGAGAAAGTATATAGTTTATGCAATGGGACGTTTTCGCATTGTCAGTCAATTAGTTAGGTGACAACTATGTCGATTGATAAGCGATGAAACAGGGAAAAAATTGCTTAATCATTATTATTATTATTTCAATAAAAGAAATATTAAAGCTTTTATAAGAATGGTACTGATTTCGATGATATAGTAACAGGTTTTTATTTTAAAGATCAAGACTTTACAATAAATTTTATTAAAAATGTCAATATTCAGTTATTTCAGAAGTTTATTTTAGTTATTATATTTTTTGATAACGATTAATTATTCTTTTTATGACAAATCTACAGTTTGTTGGTTTAATGTTGAGTTATTTTTACAGATTTCAGCAGAGAATAACACTGAATTACGATATAACTGACGTAGACCTAGTTGACAATATTGTTTCATTTGTACAGATTAACAATAAAAGGCAAGAAATCTCGAGGACAATTTTTTACTAACTTCATTTACATTGCAAAAACTAATGCACTGGAAAATTATCAAAAATTGCTAATTATTTAAAATTTCTCGGTTATGTTTTCAAAATAGTATGGCTATATCATAAATGAAAACGAAAGAGATACTGAAGATTCACAAAATGTCAATGTTATTTTCAACATTGTGTTAGACATCCAACGTTTTTGAAAAATTAGGCATTCTCAAAAAAAAATATACAAACACTCAAATTATCGAAAAAAATTAATTAAACAAGATGCAGATGTTGCAATAGTCAGCCTGCAACTACAGTATGTCCCAAAATTTGCGCAAGATTTGAATTCTTAAATAGTCTGGAACATATACTTTAGTAATGTAAGCGCTGATTTTCCTTCAAGTTGCACCTTTAGGCTTAGAATCTTATTAGGGTGGGTTTGGTTAGGTTTGTCGCTCTACGGTATTTTAAAAACGTTTTCTAGAACAAATAAACCTCTTGTACCTACTTTATAAAAAAACACCCATGGCACCCCCGGGACTCGAACGCTGTGAAAAGAAGAGAAATTCTGAGACACCTTGTACATGCAGAAAGTATAATGCATCTTTACACAGCAAATACTTTCAAAAGTATCATGCATCGAAAAAGTAATTGTTTTGATCCCACTTGGCGTTTTTGTATCTTAAACAATATATATATATATTCAAGGAACTGATTTATTTTCCACCAACAACTAACAACTTTGTGACTAGAACCCTCTGGCGAATTCTTTCTTCTACGGTACCACAGGTTTACGAGCGTTAAGAGCTAGCCATTCGGTCATCAGGCCCCATATTAGGGATGGGGGTAGTGCCATTGAAATGGTTTAATGTTGTACATGCAGAAAGTGAACAAAGTGGTTCGGAATCCACGTTCTTTGTAATGCATTTTTTACACAGTACTTTCAAAAGTATCAAACTTGACCCATTTTTGTATAAACAATATATATATATATATATATATATATATATATATATATATATAGACCTGAAGGTCCCGGTCTAATAGGATCGTAGACCGTTATGGGGGCATTGTTACTCCGCGTCCGTGACTTATCTTCAAGTTACACGCTCCCCCTGGGTCATGCAAAGTGAGTAACGTCTGTGCAGCGCTTGCCTTAAGGCATCAAAGACAAGTGTCTAAGAGTTTGCCAGCTGCATTAGAAGAAAATATACATATATATATATATATATATATATACCACGAAAGGGAATTAATTTTCGTTGTAATTTAGAAGACTCAGCAAATTGGGTTATGCAGAAAAGTTTTTACACTTAATTGCGTCTGTAATTCCAATTTTGTGAAGATTATACAAAAAGCCATCGTCTATTTGCTGCATCTATCTAAAATAACATCAATTACTATATACAGTAAGATTGAAATCGAAACAGATTGTCTGAAAAAAGATTTTCCAAAAATATATTTAAATAATGTACATATTTTTGTTATTTAAATTGTCTGATTGCCACAAAAATTAATTTCCAAGATGCAATTTCTGATGATTAATATGTTTTACGAATCTATATATCTTACAAAGTTGGCCGTTATCTCACAACGCCATTCGTACAGTCATGCTACAGTCTGCCATTTAAACAGTCATGCCAATTTTGTTCCTTT